CGTCGCCACCTCCGCGCCGTCCATCCGCTCCGATACCGCCAGCACCACCGAAAAGTTCCGCCAGTGCACCCGGGGCACCCCCAGCCGGGTCTCCACCGCCCACGACCAGATCTCCGCCAGCTCGCCCCGCGCACGCGCGTGCGTCCGTCCCCCGCCTAGGTCGAACTTCCCGTCCACGATCGGAAACGCCACCTCATACGGATCCCCAGCGCAAAGCCGCAGCACATCATCCCCAACCACCACCTGCCTGGACTCCCCACTCGACTCCCCGCTCTCTGCCACACTCCCCTCCTTTCGCACATCCCTCTTGAGCATGTCCTCCACCTCCCCCTCCAACCTGATCGCCGCGGCCGCTCTTCTAAGAGCCGATAGCCTCTCATCATTCTCCTCCGGACCGTCACCGACACCGGCACCCGACACCGGTGCTCCCGACACTCCCGCCGCCTCGTCCCCTTTCGGACCGACACCGACACCGCCACCCGACGCCAATGATCCCGACACCCCTGACGCTCCCGCCGCCACCGGCCGCCGCCTGCGGTGGGCCACGGCCTGGGCCACGCGCACCGGCGCCAGGTGGCATCCCAGCCCCAGCGTCAGCGTCTCGCCCTCGGGGTGGATCACCAGCAGCGTGAGTCCGCGCTTCTCCAGGAGCTCCCGGGAGGACAGAGACCTGAGGTCCTCCTGGGCCATTGCGGCGTCCCGCGGGATGTTTGGGCCCGCCGGGATCGCGCTGCTCCTCAAAAAGGCGCACCCCCCGTGCGCCCCCCTGGGCGGGGCACGCCCATGGGACGCGCAGCCTTTATGCCCAAAAGCGCAGCCTTGTCGTGCTGCTTTGCAGTCCGCTTGTGAGGCTTTTCAGGCAGTTTGTGCGGCTTTGCGGCCCGTTTGCGCCGCTTTTCATGGTCTTTTGCGTCGAAGCGCGCCACCAAACGGCAAAAATAGCTCGCGCTTTCGGCGACAGCCCCAACTACTAAAACAACTGCAGTTTCCCAGCAAGAAAGCCACCGCGGTCGAAATGAAGCCCCAACCTGGCGGACACAGCGGCCCCGTATCGCGCACAAACACAAACCAAAGGAGTCAGGTAGACGTACTACAGAGGCAAGCCTACGTGCCGCACAGAGGCAGGCGGCTCACCGCACGCACCCTTTAACAAGTGCCGTCCCCACTGGGCTCCCCCTTCTGAAATCCCTGACCTCCGCCCCGCCCCCCCTCCCACCTCGACCTGCAAACGCCCGAACCCCCGTGCGGCCTCAGTCAGAACCCGCCGGGGCCCGGGGGCCCCCGGATGGCGGGCCCCAAGCTGGGCGCCATCCTGCGGGTGTGCCGATTCGGCCCGGCGCCGCAGGCCTACCTGCCCGCGCTGGGGCTGCAGCGACGGCTGGCGGCCCTGCGCGAGGCAGACGCGATCCCGGACACGCTCCTCCAGTTGCAGGTCAGTACCCCACGCCAAGGTCGCTAAGTTCTATGTGTTCCTGGTTCGTTTCTCCCCGCTAAGCTCGCTACATTCTGTGCGTTGCTGGGTCACCGCTCCCTGCCGAGTCGCCAAAGTCGTTGGGATGCATTTGTCGCCACGAGGCAGATTTGTGTCCCTGCGCCTCGCAGACAATGGCGGGCATGCAGGCGTCCAGATCGGCTGCTTGTCGCTGTTCGTTCGGTCGATCATTTTTCCGCTCTCCGCCCATCCGCAACGCAGACAACCAACGGCCCAACGGAAAGGGATGGAGTGAAGGAAATGGGCATGGAAATGAAAGGCGACAAGTCCCACCTGTGTTGTTTGGCGCTCACCGCTGTGTACCGCCGATCGAACGGGCCGAAAGAATCGAATTGGTACCGGCGGTCGAAGATTGGCTGGCGATTGCGGGTCCGATCGTTCACACGTCTGATGCTGGATCTGGTGCAGCATCCGCTGGTGTACACGGCGGGGAAGCGCGCCAAGGAGCTGGATTTTCGGGTGCCGCTGGAGGTTAGTCTGATCAAAACTGGTACTGAGAAATGCGCTCCGAAGTGGAGTGTTCGACGCGCCCTGCCCTCTGTGAAGACCCCGCGCGAAGACATTCTGGGGCTTTCAAAGCTGATGGCCGGGCGCGTGGCCCGTTGGCCGTTTTAGAACGAAGTAATGGGCGCCATAATCATCGGCTCTGGGAACGGAGCCACACGCTATTAAGGCGGATTACCCCTGTGGACTGGAGGTGCTCGAGGGGCATGCGCTGCTTGGCAACAGTCCTGAAGCATCAACAGCCTTGACCAGTCTCCCAGCCTTCGCACTCTCCCAATCTTTTGATCACCTAATATGTGACTCGTTCCATCTTGGCAAATCAACAAGCCTGCAGATCTCTTATTAATCTGCAGTATTCTGCAGTAGTCTTTGTTTGGTATTCAATATTTCGTATGCATTTGTCTTGGCAACATTCTCAGCCACAATTTGTCCGGCACTGAAGTGCCGGTTAGGGCGCCCTGAAGGGCACCAGGAGCTCTTCGGAACTCAAGATGGTTTTTACACAGTATTTGGAAATCAAGCTGGTGTGGTGGAACAAGTAGGGGTGTATTGTTGTGCACTGGCAGTGCTCCATTGCCAGCACAGACTTTCTGCCATTTTCATTGAATTGTCGTGTTCTGTGCATGCGCTGTCAGTCCAGTGCAATGGCAACAGAAGCATTGCCACATTTCCCCCCATGACTTTAAATTATGTGAATGACATCGATAATCCACAACTTTATATAGCAGCAATACATTAATAGATGAATGCAGGCAGCAACAACGACATTCTTGATTAGAACCCCGGTGTCAATTCTTCCCAGTACTTTAGGACCTGCGCGCCCGTGGCTATGACGTCCACTTCGTGGAGCGGGGCGGCGAGGTGACGTTCCACGGCCCAGGCCAGGCGGTGGCCTACCCGATCGTCAAACTGCGGTCGACTCGCGTTGGGGCGCGCCTGTTCGTGGAGGGCCTGGAGGATGTGATGGTGCGCACGCTGGGCATCTACGGCGTGGCCGCGAGAGGCAGGGTGCCAGGAAAGACGGGCGTGTGGGTGGGCGATAGGAAGGCGGGCGCCATTGGCGTGAGGATCTCCAGGGGGGTGAGGTGGGAGGCGAGGGCGGAATACCTTTTACTTCAGTAGCATTAATTGTAAGGTTATTAATTGAGGTAGTTGAGTAACATTGATTAAGCTTAATGGAGTGCAAGGCTTCCTTCAAGAGACGGGGCAGCGCCCTTGTGCCTTGCGGGCGATTATGGGCACGTCTGAACACGTTGTTAGCATGCTGTTAGAGTGCAGAAAGGCGAACTTAAGCAATTTTCGAAATTCATGTGCAAGATTGGTGCCGTTTTGTTGTTTATTTTGTGTTCTATATGAACCTTAGTGTTGTTGGTGAGCACTCTAAGCTCTTGGTGAAATGAGCTCAATGTAGGCGCCAAATCGGTGCGCTTTTTTCCTATTTTGGCGATCATTATGACTAAATTTTACTAAGGCGGTATCAGTGTTTTTTCGTTTGCAGGTGATAGCTGAAATAGTTGAGAGATGCTAATGTTCGTACAAGTACTAGCGCCGTTTAAGTGTGAACGCGACCCCTGTGAAATTGGCAATTCCTTTAAATGGAATATCGCTTCAACTCGGAGCTGCGGAAGAAGAAAAGGGTGGAAAGGATACGCTGTAGAGCTTCAAAACACTCTGAAAAGGCTTCAAAACACTCTGGACGTCTTCCGAAGCCTGAAAAGGCCTGAGAAAGCCTGACAGAGTGCTGTGTGCGCTGGCAGCTCGCACGGGATGTCGCTGAATGTGAAGACTGACCTAACGCATTACAACAACATCGTGCCTTGCGGCACGCCTGAAAAGGTGCAGACTGGGAATGGCGTAGCAGGGTGGCTCTTTCCCTCGCTCTTGAACCTCGTCTCGTGCCTTGGATTGCCATTGAGCTGGCAAGACGAAAAGGGACCCTTGCGAGACTTAGTTTTTGTAGTACTTTGTGGTTTCAGTTTTCCCAGGAAGGTTCTGCATGGGCTTGACGGGTGATAATGAGTATGTGTTGATTACCATCTATCTACTAACGAATTACGCCGCTGGAAGTGGACCAGGTTGTGTGACCAAGTTGAAGTTGTTTACTGTACTATTTTCACCTATGAAATTTGCACGATACGATGCATAATACGTTACTGATACTGGGTTTGAGAATCGCAGCGCCATCTGAACATGTCCAGAAATGGGCTGCATGCCATGCGCACTAGTCATCACTTCCTTGCTGTCTGCTCTTTGGCAGCCTTCCTGCGCCGGATGGTGCCCGCACGTGTTGAGGCTAGCCGCTTCATCAAAGCGAAGGACGCCCATTGCTAACTTTTTCTGCTGGCGCTCTGGCAGAAAATGACAAGCCTGGCCAAGGAGACCGGCCTAGACGTGGACCATGTCGCCGTGGAGGACCACATGGCGCGGGCGTTTGCCGCTCACTTCAACTATGCGGACGTTCAGTACGTGTCGCCAGATGCGCTTGAAGTGGCTTGACCGACTTCAAAGTCTATGACGTCCGAGAGCCTCAGCATTTGCGCGCGGAATTATTTTCTAGATGGTTGCTCATGGGCTCTGGACGCAGCGTTTAGTGCAGTTCGGTTGGATTTGATTCAGGGGAGAGCGCGCGGTCGCTCGAAGGACTGCGTTGTGGATCGATTGAATGATCACTTGGCATGTGGCATGTGGCATGTGGCATGTGGCATTGGCATGTGGTTGTGGCTCTGCACGCTATGCATTCGTTGCACTGTTTTGCGCTGGCGCGATTGTCAGCGTTAAAGTGGAAGAGCGCAAATCCGCACCGACTGTCTTTTTCAAATAGCGGAGCTGCAAAGCTGTATTTCGTGTCAAATAGAATTGTATTTCATTTAGCTCTATTGTGAAGCCTGAAGTTGACAAGACACCCTGCACAGAATGCTGCTGATGCACCTCTGAGACGCGCCCTTATAGACTCAGGCTCATTTTTTGTGAGTGGTCAGCGCCCTGGAGAGCGCAAAACTCATTTACTATCCATCGAGGACGCGTTGTTTCCCCAATTATGGAGAGCCTACAATTCTTGTTCTCTGTCAAGCAGCGTACTCACACTCACGCAAATCTGGCAGTTCGCACAGTTGGCAACATCCCGCGTTCCGTGTAGGACATCGATTCTGGGTCTGCCACACCATCTCCACACAGCCCCAACTCTACACATGAGCCTCAACAAGGTCTTGCTCAAGATTTCTGCCATATCGACTCGGCATGGTGTCAAAACCATGAAACTTATGAGTAGTGATGTTTTTGCAGCTGAACATGGCGCTGACAGGAGCCGGACATGACTCCAAAGCCATGACGGCGCAGCTGCCATGACAGCGCCTACAGTCCTGATGTGCTCAAAACAACGGTAATCTGGCATTTGACCTCGGAGTTCCTCTCACCAATCGATGCAGCTTTGTTTATTTTAATGCGATCTTTGCGTTTGGATGTATTTGAAATGTATCTGCACGCAGGAATTTTCGAAATTTCTAGACTGCAGTTAAAACAGATGAGTTGAAACATACGACCTAAAACGGGCGACCGATTGCACAATCGAACCACCCCAGTCAACGAGATCATAGACAATGATGTACTTGCACCCAGTCAACCACCGCCGATGCCTGCACGGCCTGTACAGTCCCTGCCATCGTGCGATATATCAATCAGGCTCCAGTGCTCTGCCCTTGCTGGCACTGGAAGAGGTCAGAAACCCCGTATCATGGCCCCCTACACGGCATACCGCATTCATATGCCAGGGGCAGCTCCCACACTGCCACCATCGACACAAGTTGCACACTCATTGTGCGTCCCTCGCAGCTCTTCCTGAGTTGAGTTGGGTGCGCGGGCCATAGGCGGACATCCAACGAGGTAGCTCCCAATACGGACCACTAATATGGAGACCCTTTAACGTAGCCTAAAATTTACAAATACAACCTAAACCCCAGCGCCCAACTCCCCAATCTGAGGCGGGCAAGGTGCTGAGCTACGGTTTTGGACCGTAGAGGGGGCGGACACGCTGGAGTCTCCAGCCGGGAGAAACACGCCACGAAACGCTCCCAAGCAACAAGCTGGGAGGCAAACAGTGCACACACCGGCCGTTCACATACAGAGAGCAGATCCCTTCTCCACGGCTGCCAAGATCCATTGATCCCTTCAAGCTCAAAAAGGGAATATTCCAAAACACGTCAAGCACCAACGTGAACGCACCAACTAAATATATACGATCATGTTGTCGTCACCAACCTGAGCCGGCAATCTCCCTGCCTTGTTATGTAAATGAATGATGATGGTGATGACAGAGATGGTGCTGATGGAGGCATACACGGCTGAGGGGTGGTGACCCCTGACTGGGGACTGTGGGGTCGATCGCACCGTAACAGTGACAGCAGAGCAAAGGGACAATTCTGTCCCTTATGTCCTGCACATTCATCAGCGCCCCAATTCAGTTGCCATTGTTTTATCTGCTCTCAATGTTTCCAGCTACTGGTAATACTCGATCAGTTCTGGTTACAACGTGCCCCAGCGCATCACCCCAGACGCACAGCGAACACCGTCTTAACCCGGCGTCGTCTCCGTGACCGTCCCCTTGCGCATGCGTGGTGCCTGCATTGCTTGGACCTCATCGGACTGCTGCGTGCATTCACCAAATTTGGGTCCCCGGGCCCGCCCTGCACCCTCAGCTCGTCCCCCCAGCGCCGCAGCGGGGGCGCCGCCGGGCTCGGGGACATGCTCCGCTGCCGCGGCCTGCCCTTCGCCACCGCCATCCTCCCCCTGTCCTCCCCAGCACGCCCGCAGTCCTTGGGCATCCCCCACCACAGCCCCTGGACAAGATCCAGCAATCACACTTCCGATTGCATTTTCGGGATCTCAGGGATGGGCACAGACGCCGATCCGCTGGCCGCGTCCTCGGCCGGCGCGGAGGCGTCGGTGGCGGAGGGATCTGCCCAGGCGGAAAAGGGGTCTGAGGGGGCTGGGGATGCGGTCGTGGTGCAGTATGTAGTGTTGAGGAGGGACCTGTGGGGCGAGATGGGGTGGCCGCTGGGGAGTGTGGTTGCGCAGGCGTGCCACGCGTGCACGGCTGCGGTGTGGGGGGCGCGGGAGGAGGCGTGCGTGAGGGGGTACCTGGCGAACGTGGACAGCATGCACAAGGTGGGGCGCCCGGGGGGGAGGGGGGGGGGAGGTCGGGGTTGGAGGGAGTGGAAAACGCGTCGTGCGGTGGGCGAAGATTATTTGGAGGCAGGGAGAGGGGCGTTTTGTGCATGCGGTGGCCGCTCCTGAGCACGTGATGGCAGGAATCTGTGACATGCCGTCAAGACCATTGTGGATATGGTGGAACGGGTTGCTTTTTGTCTCGATCCGCGGTCCGTGTTCACCACGCACGAGCCCAGGAAGCCTGCCACATTGCGCGATAGCGTGTTGTTTTCAGAAGGGCTTGGGTGTATCAACGTGCATGGCTTGCAACAACCCTGTGGTGCATGAATTAGGAGCATTCAAAGAGTTGGGCATGAAGTCGTTGGGCACCAACTTGGCATTTTCCATGCTGCAAATGTTCGCCCCACCTCAACCCCAAGGCCCCCACCCAATCACCCACCTTCCGAAGAAGCTATTGCCAGCAGCAAAGCACCGCATTGAGACTGTGCATAGCCATCCTTTTGATGTGTTTTGAATGCACGACTTGTATCTGTAGCCACCAGCTGCACTGCAAAGTTCCATTTGCTTTCACGGGGATTAATGCTGCCAAATGGAGCCCGCAGAAAGGGGGAACCCTGTGGCTCTCCAAGTCAACCTGTTAGGTACCTCTGTCCCCTTGCCTTCGGCAGAATGTACAGCACTGACACAATAACTGTGGACTATTGATGCTTCTCAGAATGGGGCCCTGCCGCCTTTCTAGTCTGCCTGTTGTGTCCTGGACATTACATGTTCACTGGAGACACAACTCTGACGTGCCGTGCATCTTTTTCCCTATTTTGAATGTTTTCCTTTCCGCAGTTCTTCCCTGCTTTATCCAGTGGCCCCCTGCTATGGCACTTGTTTGGATGGGTGGAGCTGCTGGGCTCACTCCTTTCTACCCTGTTATCGGCAACCTCAACAATGGCAAAGCACAGCTGCCATGGTTCTTAAATGCCATGCAATGTTGAGCCTAAGATTGGCAATTTTGTTGTGATATTTGGTGTAGAAAAAAATGGCACGGCTTACACAGGTGTGCTTGGATCGTGTCAGGTGGTTCTGGAGGTGAAGTCTGAAACACAGTTGCGAAACCTGAGCAACAAGCTGCAGGAGGCGAATGTGGACCACAAGCTGTGGGTAGAACAGCCTGAGAACTTCGCCACTTGCCTTGCCACAAGGCCCTACCCCAAACCCGAAATTCAGCACCACTTCAAGAAACTTAAGCTGTGCAAGGGCTGACGATCTTGGGCATCGTGCAGGAAGGGGGCGAGAGGGGCTTTCCTTGGGGATTTCAACTTGGAGCATTTTCCAAAGGCATGTGGGAGATCTGTTTGGTGGTGGACAAGTGGGGTGTTTAAATTGGCATTCTTTTTCAAGGACACAGCAACAACTGGGGGATTGCCATCAACCACTTACACGCAGAAGTTAGACGGCACTTGCGGCATTCAAGAAAGAAGATTCAAGGTTTGGATCTTGTTTGGAGAGCCGCTGGCGCACACCAGGGACACAAAGGCTTGGAGCTGCCCCTCAGCCAAAGCCTGAGAGTTCAATTTTATTTGGATAACAGAATCAAAGCATCTCCGATGCCACTAGTTGCAATGGATGAGGAACTCACCCATCAGCTTCCAAGGCCATCGTGGACACTTGCTGCGACCTCAGGTTCCTGCTCCCCAGACAATCACCACAATCTCTACCCCGAAGCTGGAAACTTAAAACTGGGCTGATCACTTGCAATGGCGGGTGCCTCCACTGCCAAACCCTGGTAACCTCGCACGGGATATTAAACGTCTGTTCCTTGTTCGGTCAGGATTGGGCCATTCAGCGCTGTCTCGGAGGCTGCTCGACCCATCCGCTCCACTCACACTGTCGTACACCTAACTGGGTCCACATTGTTGCATTGCTGCTGCTCTCACACTGTTGTTAATATAACTGATTGAGCACTACTAACAGCTGGACGCACAAAGAAGTGATGGGGCTTTAGGAACTGCATTAAGAACGCTGATTAACGGACTGGATATAAGGGACACAACCCTTGTTGTCCCGTTGCTTGGCTTTGAACCGTTGCCGTGAACTCGAGCCTACGGTCCCCGTCCAGGGGGTTGCCACCCCTCGACAATGCCTGCCTTCGTCAATTCCACCAAATTTGTCTCTCAGCACCTGGAATCAATACGGCCCCCACGATCCATCGAAATAATGTTACTGGAACAAACAAATGGGTGACTGCTTGCACACTAGTTCCTCACCTGAGATTCAGGTTTAGGTTTAGGTTTAGGTTTAGGCTTAGGGTTAGGGTTAGGGTAAGTTTAGCTTTTAGGGTTTGGGGTTTAGGTCAGGTTAGTTTGGAGGGATGTGGTGCAAGCAGTCACCGATTTGGTGCAGCCAGTAGTTTTATCCCGGACCCAACCCGGCCACTGGACGTATCCAGGAGGGCCCTCCGGCTGGCTCGCCCTGGAGCCCCTGCGCGTATCCCCCGTACTTAACAGCCGGCATCCCGCCGATCCCGGCCCGTCCACGCGGATGCCGGAACGCTGACCCCGCACGCCGTCAGCACCCCCGGGGTACTTAAGCTCCCCCATTGCCGAGCTCCTGGAAGGCCAAGGCCACTCGACTTTTTGCCAAGGACCGGACGAAGGCAGCGACGCGGCACGGTCAAGGACCAGGGGACCGGGAAGCATGGTTGTGGGTACCGGCCACGCCCTCAAGACGCGCGTGAAGAAGACGGCATCCGCCAAGGCCAGCAGGGCCAAGACACAGCGGCTTGACAGGCGGTCAGGTGGGCGGCCTCGTAGTGGGGAGGGTTCGACTCCGCGATGCCATGCCCTGATGGCGTTGGCGTGTTCTCGTTCTGCTTTCTGCGGCGCTTTCTGACGGGGATTCGTTGCTCGCCCGCCAGGCACGGGGCGCAGCAGGGTGGAGTCGCCGAAGAAGGGCGGCTGCGGCGGCAAGACCGTGTGGGGCAGGTGGGTCTCGACGCGCCGGGCCGGCTCGCTGTTTTTCCCTTTCGGATGTTTCTCGGCGCGAGCGATTCCGGGAGCGGGCTGGCGAGATGTGCCCGGAGTGTGTGTGTGTGTGTGGCGTTCCGGCGGAAGCGCGGCGTCGATTGAGGGCGGGGAGGGTAGGCGAGATCTCGCCAAGGGGGCGATCGTGTCGTGTGGAGGATTGGGCCCGTGGATGGCACTCACGAATCGATCCAACAAGAGATTCGGTCAAGGGGAACTTAATCTGGGAGTATTCGCGGGTTGGGGTGCGCCAGGGCTTGGATCCCGGGTCGCCGAAAGGGCGCTCGCGGCCAGTTGCTTTCAGGTGATCTGAGGCGGGGGCGGGACATGTGGGCCGCAGTTACAAGGACGACATCGTGGACTACTGGGCTTATTCGGAGGGCTGGATGTGAGCGACCCGCTCAGATGCCATCTGGGTTGAGGGGCGGACGCCCGCTGGCGGGACGCCCGCCGTTCTCCACACCTTGGGTTTCGTGTCCAGGTTTTGGGCCGGAGATGGCGAACCTGAATGGGGCCAACGCGATTGACGACGCGGGCGCCCAGCAGATGGAGTGGCGGAGAGGCCTCTGACGGGGGGCTGCGCGCTGCTCTGCTGTCGTGAGTGGTTTCCGCTTGGGGCTTGTGAGCGGGGCGGGGGGGATAGGCTGCTGGGGCGTCGCCGTTGCGCTGCCTTGCTGGCTCCGGTCGTCCAGGAGCTGAACCCGGAGACCGACATGAGAGGCGCCTTGCCAAGGGGGCTGTGTGATGTGTTGGGGCGGGGTGGTGTGGGGAGGCGATGACGGATCGTGTTGGCGAAGAAGGCAGATTTCGTTGCGCAACCCCCTTTGCACCAAGACGGGCTTCGTATTCTCTCCAAGACGGAATTTTCGTTGACTGCAGCCGAATTGACTTGTTGTAAAAAAACTAGATCCCTCTCTTGACGGCGGCGAGGCACCTTTTTGAAAGGTGCAAAGAACGGCGGTCCATTCTGGCCGTCGTCCCCGGAGATAGCGCAGTAACACCACCCTCAAACGGGCAGCTGAGCCATGACGACAGCCTCAGCACCACAGCAGTTGAGGGTGCACTCAACGAACAAGTTTTGCCCCTCGCGCAAACCGGCTCTTGACGAAGAACTGCTTGTCGCAACGATGCCAACGGCCCAAGATAACAACGGCGACAGCAAGGGCAAGCTTCAAACGGGTAGCAAAACACCCCGCTGCCAGCCAACCATGCAAATGCACTTGTAGAACCTCTCACAGCTGCCGCTCTGAGCGCCGCAATCGGTCGCAACCGCTCCTCAACGATCGACGAAGTCAAAACGGAGGTCGGGTTCGCGGGTCAGGGCTGCCTCGTCCACAGCATGTCGGCGTATGATACGGGATGCACTTCTCTTCGCCTCGACAATGCTGTGCAGCGACGAAGGGTGCTCACTTCTGCAGCAAAACCGCGCTGGCACTGCTGGTCTTGAGCGGCAAGGAAAGCGGCTCAGAAAAGGCACAGACTGGCTGCGACCTTCGAAAAGGTCGAGCGCTATTGCGCTCAGGCCGTGGCGAACGTTGCGCGCACGGCCATGGGAGTCAGGCAGCCAGGCTGAGTGCCTAGACTGCCGCGAGAGAGACACACGGACCCCACACAACCGTTCTTACAGCTGCTAGGCCGAGTGCAACAATACAGAGTTCCCCTCGGCGCTGTCTGCACCCCTCCGGCAAAATGCCACCCATTCCTAAGAGATGCTTTGTTGATACCCAGAATCTTTCTGACACGCCCGCCGCTTCACCACAACTCAATCCAGGACGCCCCACTGGCCACAATCAGCAACCACTCGTGCCCCAAGGGCCACATTCCCACCAAACAACCACACTTCCCATGGTCAGCAACCATGTAATGCCCCACGGGGCATATTCCCATCAAACAACCACGTGGCGCCTCAACACGCCACTCCTGGATCCGTCTCGCCACAATTCACGGCTGGCTGCTAGGCGGGCTGCCCCTGAACAAACGCATGTGTCCAGTGGCAACCTGGGTGTTCCTCAGTACTCCCAGGAATATTCGGGGTATGTATAGAGCAGCCCTGATTGATGTTTTGGGGTTTCTGCCTCATTGAGCGCCAACCTACTGGATGATTTTCAGTATGGCGAAGGTGTTGAGGCTGTCGACATCCCCTCTGCACCATATCTGGACCTCACAGGTCGCCAGCTGCGTGATATCATTTATGCACTAATTTTTTTGATGAGCCCCATTAATTGGCGACCCGAACAAAAGGCGGATGTCGTGGCTGAGAAGACTGCCGAAACGGTGCTGATGCGACACTTTTGGTGCCTGCATGTCATGTAGCATTGCCAAGCGCTTGAGGCCGCTCGAGTCCAGAGCTGGTCCCAAACAACAAGTTGACAGAAGGCAGCTCGCCTGCTGTGCCCCACGGTCAACTGTCGCGGCCCCCATTAGCCTGCCTTGGTACCTTTCCACGTAGGAGATGATGATGATGATGAAGTTCCATAAATTGTGTCTCAGCCACCGAGAGCCATGTTGCCACCCAACCAAAGAGCATGTCAATTGTTTGTCCCAGTTCCGCGTTGGAGAGGAGAAGACGATACTCTTGGCACCGTGAGACCCCAACGAGTGCAGCACCTACAGCTGTTGCGCCCCCTTCTGGGGCCCTATGGCCACACTTCGCACCAGTGTGAAGGGGCGCAGGACGCCACGTGTGCGATTCCACCCGTCGGGGCATATAAATTCCCGCATGCATGCCGCACTGCGAGTTGGCGCAGCGTGCCATTGTTCTGGGGTGCTCCTCCGTTGTTTTGATGTGCTGCTGCTTGCTGCAATCCAACACGATGTGGCGTGATCTGGCAGTGAGGACAGAGGCACGGCGAACGCGACGTAATGTCCGCAAGGTGCATGCTGATTGACCACCGGCTGTTCATTGTCGAGCTGTTTCGATTGAAAGGAATACACCAACGGACCACTCACGTTACCGCAACAACACCCCAGTTTTTTCTTGTTCCACAACGCGACGCATGTTTCGAATCGGAGTAGACTCTTGAGGGGAGCATGCTGCAGGATCGGCGATTAAGCACCGCCGCAGGTAGCAAATATGCCCAGCGCTTTGTTGGCAATCTCCGGAGTTCCGCAGCCTTTCGGTCAAGTGCCGTGCGCCCACAGCATGAGCGCAGACGGCGCGGACAAATGGATAATGATTGAAGGAAATCGAAAGCGTATACCAAAGCAATGCAACAACCATTGCCTGACAGTGCAATGTATAAAAAATAGCATAAATGTGAGCACAAAGCAGCAACGTTATTACGAATCATGACAATGCAATCAAGCAAGCAGCACAATGTCGGCAAAACATCCTCTGCCCAGTGCCCCTCCCGGGTTCGTGCATCACGTATTGTACCTTACATGCCGCGCGATCGAGGGCAGTCCCATTGTCGCACCCAGTCCACGCCGCAGCAGCAAAGCCATCCCACAAAAACACAGCTTGACAACGCAAACCTGGAAACGCCACGTTGGCGCCTGTTATATCTACTCGACATCGCGCCCGCACCCCACACCCACCGTGCATCCACCGCAAAGCCACCAAAACTCCCTAAGCTCGCCCCAGCGGAAGCACCGTCCCGCCGCATGAATGTACAATCTCTCCAGCAAAAACCGTATGTGTTTTTGAACGTCCTTCAGACAGACCGGTTGCGCGCAAGCCTCCCCACCCCACTCGCGATCCGCGCGCCCCATTGCGCCCTCCACGTGCCCCCAAAATCGCACCCCAGTTCTGCTGAATGAACTCCCGAAGGAAAAGAAAAGAATTGGCGGCGCCGCCCCCCTCAAACGCAAATAAAGAATTAAACCCATCCTGTCTCACTCGCCATCGTTTATTCGGCTCCACGCGCCACCGACCCCACGGCGTCTGCCTCCAAACATGCCGCACGGGCACCGCACTCCACCCACGGCATCAACCCTCCACACACCTCCCCAGTGCCGTCTTCAATTTGCAGGACGGATCGACCTCTCTTGGGTGATTGCGCTCCCACTCCACTACTTTGGCCATCGACCGTTTCTGCGCAATTATGCTCCTTTGGACACATAAGTCGCGTTTTTGCGTTTTTGCGCTCAGCCGCCGTTGAGAGCGCGCCAGGCGCCCGGCGCTCCCGGCAGCGCGCGCAGCAGGTTTACCCGCAACGCCTGCTGCCAGCCGCCCCTGTTCTCTGACAGCATGGCCTTCGCCCAGTGCTCCACGTCGTCCGGCTTGGAGGGCGGCGGTGGCAGGAAGTTTCCCCGGATGCAGCACCAGCCGTCGGCGTCCACCTGCTCATCGTCGTCGTCTGGGGGCGAAAAGCGGGGAATCAGCCAACCCACTCGTTCTTCCGAATGACGTGACATTCATTTCCGTTCAAAAACATGGCATGGCATGACATGACATGTTTGTGTCGAACATTAGATTTCAATGAACTGACCATAGACACTGCATCGCTCGGGCAAAATAGGAAATAGCCGACGGCCACCTCACCGCCTTGCTCAGTAAAAATAAATGACGATGCTGGTGACGTTGATACGACATGAATGGCATGACATCCGTCCAAGGCAATCAGGGCCATGTCGACGCTGGAATGCAAGAGCGCTTGTGGCCTCTGCCCCCGCTCGCTCCCTGGGGAGGACACTTCCTTGCATGTATCGCCAGCGACAAGTGCTTCCTGTAAATAGGAATTGATGGGGCTCTGGACTTTGTTAGTGGTGTGCATCAGATTTAAACGAGCAGCCATGGATACTGCCTAGCACGGGCAAAATAGGAAGCTGACGGCCACCTCCTTGCCCTGTTATGTAAAACTGAATAAATGATCAATCCTCCTGAGGCACCACTGCACAAGCATTCACCCATCACAGTGGCATTCCTCACAGATTATATGGGGTTCAAGGGCAGCGCAAATGGCACAGTAGCCGCTGTGCGTCCCTAACAACTTTTACCATCTGAGTGATCCATAGCCTGCACTGCAATTCCAAAAGTACAGTTCGCAAGTCGATGCATCGAGCTCAGCTATTCGGTGCACCGTGTCTGGTCCTGTCACAGTGCACCGTCGCAATTGGGCCATCATGAAGACACATCCGACCCCACCCACCACCCATCACTATCACCGCAGTGTGCAGCATTGGCACAGCCGCGGGCTTTCATTGCACGCCTCATTGAAGCTGCTCCCATTGTGAATAATGGGGAGCCGATGTCGAGGTCCTTCTATTGATACGTACATATCTCGGTCGAAAAGTTAAGATTCGGCGGAGTGTGCTTGTGAATTCGCAGGCTACTTGGCAGAACTTCATTTCGTTCATTCTTTTGGTTATCACATTTAAATGCTACTTTCGGCTTGTTCAAAACCAAAGGAGCTCAGTCAGCGCCGACGACTCCGATTGCTGAGCCCTGGAGGCCGACGGTCTTGCGTCCGTGCTGTGCACAATAAACCCATACGTTGCCCAACCCAACATATTCAGTTGACAGAGTTTAGTGTAGCCTAATCTGGTGCCTGGAGCTTCTGTGGCTGCGGTTCCATGCGCTAGGAACGCGCCAAGCCCCATTCCAGCAATTCGCATCACTGATCCACATCAAAACCGAAATAGCATGCTAAATTGCGCCAGCATGAACACGGATTTCATTGAAGATAGGTCTGGAGGAAAACTATCCTATGAGCGCTTTAGGAGAGGCAGAAGCGGGCCCAAAATGTCCTCACATGCATCTGCATACAAAGGAGTTGATGCCATCCCAGAATTAGCGACAACAACTGTTAATCCCCCTCCTTTGGGTACTCCCCGAACCGCACAGCAAGCAACCCGGACTGCATCTTGAACAAACCCGCAGCAGCTGTTGCTACTGCGTGCTAAAGTCCTTCGTCACCATTCGCCAAAATGGCTTGTCGCGCGAATCGTCCACATTGACCATCGCCAGCAGCAATTCCACCCCCCCCCAAAAAAAAAAAACTCTTCAAAGCGTTGAAAGCAGTGCGAAAGCAGTTGCAGCACTCAATGACAAGGTATTGACTTAGTTGACACGACAAGGCAACGAAGCCAAAGGAGGGAATTACCGGGCAGCAGAAGTTGGGTCGTGTCCAGGCTCGTGCTTGTTTGTGCGTCTTCGCCCACCACATGATTCCCGTCGCCGCCCACCTTGCCATCCGCCGCTGCCAGGGCACCCAGCTGCTGGAGCGCCCCTCGCAATGAATCCCTTGCCACCTGCGTATTGGCACCATGGCAGATTTCGTGCAGAGTGCCATCAGAGCAAGGTGCCCTTTTGTGCTGTGGGGTGCGCGAGAGCTGCGCTACCTCGACTGCATCTGCCAAGACCCGAAAAAAGTACTTCCACTGCATGCGGAAGGCGCTGGGGCCGTCATTTTCCACCAATTGTTTGCTGGAAAGCTTTGCTTCCTCTCTGCGAGATTTGTTCTTATGCATGCCAATGGCTACTGACACTGACAGTTCTTAGTCCATCAACGAAATAAGATGACGAAAACTGCCAACCCTCGTCGCCATGGAGCGCAGTGGGCAATGTACCGCTGGGTTGGTTGGACAAACAAATAATCAAAGCAGATTTTCTGACGCCACAAAATGTTGCAAATGAACGGCTCTATGACAGCAAGGTGGCCATCTACCGCGGTCGAAAAGCCCATCCTTTCTCAGTTGATTGCAGCCCACTGGATCCTAGTTCTCTCGTCCAGTCCCTTCACGGGCAGCAGTTTAGAGCGCACGTGCTGCCCTATTGCTGATAATGCACTGGATGCAAAGAGCGCATGGTGTGATAACAAGTAAACAAAACCAACCAACCAACCAAGAAACAAACAATGTTCGCCATGTTTGTGAGGCAGTGGCTAAAGCAAGAGCCCGGATACGGACATTGAAAAAAGGAGTTGGGACCACCTGGGGACTGCATCCTCAGCTTTTCTTGGGGTTAGTGAGGGGGGTGGTCATTCCATCCCTTTTCTATGGGGCTCCTGTTTGGGCTGCGGTTTTGGAAATTGAGTGCCGACTGGATGAGATTGATGGGACTTTGGCACAGGCTGCTCGAATGGCTTTCAGTTTGGAACGTTCCACATCTACTGAGGCATCTCTTGCCTTGGCTGGCATTGGACCAGCCAGATTGCACATCATATCCATGCATCCATGTAAGGAAGAAACAAACAAACAAACAAAACAAATAAATAAAATTAAAATAATACATAGATACATAAATAAATAAATAAATAAATGAATGAACAAACAAACAAATAAATAAATAAACAAATGCTCTGAAATTTCGCTCCACATAGCGCAGAACGTTAACCGCATAAACTGAAGTTGTGCCACTTGGCCCACAATGACCTGAAGCAACTGCACGATGTGCCATTGTACATGCGATGTGTGCCATGCTCCACACAGTCCACTTACGAGCTGTCAACCTCTAAAATTGCCTTCGACAAGACAAGGCGGTGCCCTTGCGCCTTGGGGGCGACGGCTGGCACATCCACATCCAAGAACGCTTTTATGTCCCCCATCCGCGTTTGCTATACTAGAAGTTTCCAAACCCTTTAACGCTTGGCCCTTTTTGCGTAGAGTGCAATAAATAAATAATGTTCTTTTAACAAGCAAGGAGCCCACGGTGCTGTTTTAATAAAACTTTTGCGGAGAAACGTAAAAACAACAAAAATAACGCTCTGAAAAAACAAATGCGGAACAGAGAACGTAACGGCAAAATTTTCCGATGCAGAAGGGTTTTAAAACCTACGGTAACAAATCACACCACCCGTATGATGAGACATCGCTATGTGATCGATGCCCCAAGCTTGGTTTCACTCAGGAGGCCAACCCGTTCCATACCTTTGAGCAAATCCAAGCCAGAGATGCAAAGGGGCTCCAGCCTTCGGGCAGCTTGGCGCCCAACGGGCCCAACTGGTCACTGGCGAAGGCGCCGATGCTGCGGTGCAGGAGGTGCATTGCGGCCTCAACCTGTCGCTGCCGGTGGGGCAGGCACTGATCGCCAGAGCTGGAGGGCCTTGGGGAGCGCACAAGCAGGGGCTGTCAGGAATGGACGGCGCAGCTAGCGCACCTCAATGCATCCACCAAACTGCTAAAGCCAGGAACGGAGATGTGATGAATATTTGATGCCTATTTCTCCGAATGGCAACGCCGTGAAGTTGAGCTGGAGCTGGAATTGGTAAACGCACTGGTCATTTTCAAGAAATGAGCATGAATGAATAGGGCTTACCAACGACGTGCATGGGTATGCAAAAACACCTCAGTCATTGACTGGCGATTCATTTCTGCATCAAACAATACTGTACATTACCATGGCGCGCCCTGCCACCTGCTTTGTGCCAGCCTCCAAGGCAGCACCCAGAATGTGTCGTTCCTGTTTGATGACTGCCACCAGAGTCGGCCAAACCAAACACTCGCAACTAGAATGCTTCCACAAGCCCTCTCTGCAGCCTGAAAATCTCGTCTCGATTACAAACTCCAAACAGATTGCCCATCTCAGGACCACGAATCTGAACTCACCATGTGCTGCTGGACAGCTGGGTAGGGGCGTTCCTGCCCAAGTGCAGTGGCAGCACGTCACCAGTGGAAACTGGTCTGCAGTCCCAGAACGTCCTTCGCCGCCAGATAGACGAATACGAGCCCTTGAAATTTGATTGGTGGATCACTGGCCCGCCAATGTACAAACCCAGCAGGTCCAACAGCAGGAGGGCGTATCCCAGGGCAGCATCCAGAGTCTGCAGAGCAAACAGAGGTCAGAAAACGTAAAGTGCTGAACTGAGTATCGCATGTTCAGCGTTGCATATCACTGCAGGGGATAAAGCGCTGGACACTGGAATGTTCATTGGATGCTGCAGCGAGCACTTTTGTCCACCAATTTGGAGGCATCATTTCCATTCTGCGTATGTTGTAGGCCTGTCACACCCACTAAGCTGTCTACCATCAATTGCAGCCTGATATTGCCTTGCTCATCCATGCAAAGCGGCAAGCAAGGCCCACAGTCATCCGTTAGGATGATGGCGGCACACGAACTTGGAAACGGCAGCATTTCGGCACAGAATACCAGCGTGCACGTCCATTCTGATGGATCCTAGGCCCCCTACCTCTGGCTTCTGCTTCGGGTCCACGACCGTGAGACGGCCATTGGGCAGCTGCAGGTTGCACACAGTGACTTGTATGGGCGCCTTGGACCCCGACCTCAGGGCGTTTATCCGGAAGGGCAGCACCTCCAGCAGCTGGCGGACTTTTGCGCACCACTCCTCTTCCAGGGAGGACTGCAGGCAGCTGAAGGTGAGCTGCGTCACACGGGCATGGGTAGGAAAATATCTGTGCAACTTCTCCTTCCGCTTCTCCAGCAGCTGGGTGGAGGCCTTGTCAAGGTGCACCTGCCGGGCGTCGCTGCTGTTGCGGAGCACCACCACGGCAGACTTGACTGCGGGAATGTCAATCAGACACCCATTGGGTCCAAAGCTGTCTCAACTTATTTGGGCAATAACTCGATGCAGCCTTGCCTATTATTGTCATCTTTGCTCTCATTCCTGCCTTTCAGTAGTACCGGCAGAGCATCATTACGAAGGGTGAAGTTGCCAGCCCTGTCCCAATATCTTGGAAGAGCAGCGGGCCATTCACCCATTGCAAGAAAGAGCATGGTGATATAAGGTGACACAACAGCAGCTTTGGCAGCTGTAAATAGAGATGCTTGGTAATCAGTGTGAAGAGATGAACTGGAGTCTCGCACACTGATACCTTTTACCAGTGATCGAAATGGACAGAACTGTACTAGTGCTCCCCAGAATCATCCACTGTATGTCTCCTGGGTTCCACAGAGTAACTGTCCTTGGCTAAAGTTGTTGATCAAGCGTACAGAAGGCAGCTTAAGCCTGATGACACCGATCATGGCAGGGACGGAGAGCAACAGGAATGTGTGTGTGTGTGCAGATGAAGCCAACCAGCTGAGGTTGACTGACTGCAGGTGGGGCCTGGGCTCATAAATGCGATGTTCTGCTCTCGGCCTAACATTGGAACTGATTGCCTGCGGCAGCTAAGGAGACCATGTGGTTTGCAAGGCTTTCCATTTCTTGCGAAAGTTCCAACTGGCAATGTCATATCCTGGCCACATCAAAATAAGTTTCTGGCAGCCGCCTGTGAACTGTTAGACAGTCAAGTCTTTGAGACTCCCTTGAGCAACATTCAAATCACCCCCAAGCCCATTTGCAAGAGTTGGGGGATTCACAGGGCCACAGCGAGCTCTAAGTTTGTGTTTGTTGTCATGATGCAGAATCCTGTTGTTTTTGCTGCTCATGGCTGTGCAAGTCTCCCAATCCACCTGCACTATTTCGTTTCTCTTCAGCAGTACGGAACAGAATCTCAAAACCAAGCATCATCATCTTGTCTCTTGAATACTTCAAAACATTGCTTCAATGGCTCGCAGTCATTATGCCCAAATGCACAACAGCTTGACCATGGCTCAATTTGGGATTCTGGATGCATGCATTCTCTGTATTTTCACTTGGCCAGCTCCACACCCAGCCAGCCACACACCACACATCGGCCCATCAGAGGCCCAGCAATGGGCGAGGGGAGCGGCGGGGAATAGCCAACGCACCACGCTTCAGCCTCTGTTCAGCAGACGTCGCCCTTTTGGACACGTGGCGCAGTTCCAAAAGGTGCAGCTGTCTCTTTGCCTCCTGTTGCTGCTGGGCCTCCTACGACAGCCGAACACTGGAATTCACCATAAAGGAAATCAGTTAATGCGATGCACACCCCTTGTGAGCTTACCTTTGCGCGGCTCTTTTTCGCACAACCTTTGGCCAAGACAATCAAAGACATCGCACTGCCCATCAATACAATCGCGGGAGTCCAAGAACGCATCCAACTCCAAAAAGATTTGCCCTCCCAAACGATCGTCGTCAGACGTTCCGTTCAGGCGGAGCGACTGTGGCTGTGCGTCCAACGCCGCCGCAGATGCCGGCACCCCCGCACGAAAAGCCACCGCAGCAAGCCATCGTTGGCCATCCCCCGCGCACGACACGGACTCCCACCAAAGCACGTCCTCGCCATCCCGGCCCCAAACGCCGTGGGTGGCGACCCCCGATCCAGCCATCCGATCACCGTGGCCGCCGCATCCGAAAATCCCCGAACCGCTGCAAGCCAGCCCAATCCGCGGAACACCTCCCCTGGACCCACAGGACCTGCCCCGTCCCATCCACTCCCCCCTAAAGCAAATAATCAGCAGTTTTCCGCCAAAAATCAGCAGTTTTCGGCCAGCAATCTGCAGTTTTCGGCACAATCGGCAGCTCTGAGCCCGTCCGGCTCAAATTCCCCCGCCCGCGGGCCCGTTTGCCCACCTGCCTCTCCATCTTCTCCCTCAGGCGGCCCAGCAGCTCGTCCCTCCGCCTGATGAGCGCCAGTAGAGCCGCCTTGCCGTCCCCCAGCACGCCGCCGTTCACGCAGTCCGCGCACAGGAACGGCCGGTGCGTGGCGCTGCACAGCTCGCACCCGCGCGGCCTGAGCCGCGCGTCGGAGGCCATCCCCTGCAGCCGCGCGGCAGTCCGATCGGCGCACACAGATGCCGGGCGATCGCGACCAAGGCAGTGGCTTTGATGCGGGCTGTGGGGGAGAAGGGGCGGACAGGGGCCCCGCGGCGCGCGGCGCGGGTTTTGGTTTCTTGCAGGTCCGGCGCGCCGCGCGTCGCGCCGGGTATTGGGTTGGGGGAAGGGGCGTTTCGTGTGTGTGGGGGTGGTGGTGGCTTTTTTTGCGAGGGCGGGGGAACGTGGGGTGAAACTGCCTGGAATTTGGTGGAAGGTGTGGCCGACGGGCCGGAGGGTCGCCGCAGAGAAGGTTGGAGCGTTTTTTCTCTGCTGAGCGCCCGGATGTTGTGGGTGAGGTACGCCAACGCTGCTCAGCAGTTTGTCCCGGCAGTTTGCTTGGGTGTTGATGCATTTGCTGTGTTTGTCCAATGATCCCCTCATAAAGTTTTGCTGGCTTGGTGCTCTTGCTGCCAGCGTGGACGCTAACATGGAAGGACTCGAAGTAGACGCTTCCCGGGCGGTTGTCAGCCGCGAATATTTGGACTGCCAGCACTTGGTAGCTGTGCTGCTCTGCAATGTTCCGATTTTTGGCATGCCTGCGCGTCCCAGCAGGCTTTCGCCATATCGTTTGTTTGAATTTGCGCACGCATATGTATTCCCTGATTCGGATTTGCCCGTTTCTGGGCTGTTTACACAGCGGCAGGGTCTGATGCAGCTGGTTGAACCCAAGCGTCGGTTGTGCGGCACTTGACTAATGGCGCACCGTCCTTTTTGGGCGCAGTCTTCCATGGATGTTTCGGTCGTTCTGTACAATTGTCAGAAGAGTTGTTTCGTTGAGTCCCCATGGCTTCGTGCAGCATCTCATCGCGGTTCCATTGCCACTGACAACAACACCGCCTTGCCGACTCGGCCGACACCACAAACACGCACAAGGGAAGCGAAATTTAGGCACACATTGAAAATGTTCCTAAGTCAAGCCCACCAAATGCCTGACAGGCCTTCCCATTCGCATTTTAGCAAAAGCAAGGGAACTTGCCGATATCCAAAATTGCTTTCTGTTCCCCGTTATCTGCCAGAATCCCCCTCGCACGCGTCATTAAAGACGGCCAGCGAACGGAGTTTAAACTTCGTTACATGAAGCTTAATGCCCTGAACAGCTGGCCTCGTCCTCAAGGCTCTGTCTTTCCCATCACAGCCCCCCATGTGGCCAGGCGGCCAGCCCAGAACCAACGCGTTGCGCCAAGGGTAGGGGCGTCCTTCTCACCCCAGATATGTCTTCAACATCGCGTTCAAGGAAGAGCAGCCTGCGCAGACCGCGGGCGATAACGTTAGGCCTGGAAACGTCGAGCTTTGGAAGCATGTGCGCATCCCATGCAAATGTAAGGCAATCGCCTGAGTTCGACATGATAACCGCTCAAGAGAAATTTGCGAAAACTCCCATACATGCAGTCGCCATCAGCTCCTCTGCAGCGCCTTTTGGTGCTGTGTCGTTGCGCTGTGGATGCATTACATCTTTTTTTTTGAGGCACGGCGCGGGAATTGCACGCGCAGCGTGCCACTTGCGTGGCGTGCACCATTGCAAAAGCGCGCTCACCAATATCAGAACAGTTGAGGGCATGTTGCCAGAATAGGTCTTCCGAAGGGCTCACGCCCCCACCCCAACGCAGGGATTGCGCTGCCTGCTCCATCCTGCACAATGGCCCCAATCCAATGTACGGGGGGGGTTCGCCATCGTCGTTGCTTTTACAGCGCCGCCGTGGCGTCGAGCAAGTGCTGGCCGTCAGGATAGAACTGTGCGGGCTGTGCGATTCTCGCAATGACGGATCGGCCTGCCCTTGGATCTGCACTTGTGGCGGCCGGTTCTCGTCGCGGCGCAGCCCTTTCTCCCTCGCTGAACATTCCCTTTCCAGGCGTCGCGGCTTCCACTCTGCGTTTGGCCGCTGAAGCAACCGGCCGTCTTGCGAGCAGCGCACCCTTCCATGCCCGCCGCTCCACGTCGTGCCCATGAATCCACGTCCATGGTGTCCGCTACGCCTCCTGTACTTACCTGTCCATCCGTGCGCCTCCCTGCAACTTTCTCAGCCACCACAGCGATTCAAGTGCATCCACTGCGCCAGGCGCCGTGCCCGCCATGACCGTCTTCTCCGCCTCTGCATGTCGCGGCTGTAGCGGCGGTGCTGGCCAGTGTGGACTGCATGTGCCCCACAGTTGTCGCCATCACGTTAACTGCCACATCCACCGCAATGCAAAAGGAGCGCGTGAGTTTGCACACCAAGAGGAAGATCACAACAAATGATTCAACTGCTTGATGACAAGATGATCGAACTATGCCAGGACGCGGGAATCGACTACTGCTCTGTGATCATTTCATTTCAATGAGCTGGTCAAATTAATACAGTAATCCACCAATAAGCCGATTGGCTCAGCAGCTCATTCACACAAAGACAAGCGGCCGGGCACATCGTCTGCACAGCCGCCAACAATCCACTCGGTGTCTCGGTGACGCGTCGGCGCACAAATAGTCAGCAGAAAGCAAGAGCAGCCACCCAGGGCGCCGCACATTATGCAGGGACTCTCTGCCGTGTCGCGCCGTGGGTCAGTTGCCGTCGAGCTGAGCGCCCTTCAAATCAAAAACGAGGCTTGCGCAGAAGGCTGCAGCGGAAATCCAATGCCGCGCGGGGCCAATCTCCAAAGTCGGAGCGGCTCTGCCGTGAACTCTGCCGCGCTCGGAGTGGGAAAGATTGACAGACCTCACACGGTCAAAGGGATATAGCAAGGGCAGAGGGCCCGCGTCTTACCACTGTGTACCCTCCGGGTTTTGAGGTAGCTAAGTCCCCAAGTCTTTTTAGTTGCGGAGGCTTTCTCGTTCCTTCTGCCCAAACTCAATGCCGAGATTGTGATGTAAGGCTTTGGAAATGGTCAGAGAGACGGTGGGGGGCACATTTATACCCAAAAGCGCCACTCCAACTGACGGCTCACTGCCCGAATCGGGTGCACGTGGCAATCCGGGTCAAATGTGCGACTGACTCGATACCCCTAAAGTACGCGCCTGCGGTCCAAGCGGCGCTCAGGGCCCGTTCCCATGCGTGTGCCTGACACGCTCCTCTGCTGCGGTCAAGGCAGCCCTATGCGCCGTTAGGAGAAGGCGGCCCGGTCAAAGGTGCCCAACACGCAGTGCACCATCATACGAAAGCCCATTCCAATCGCAGTACTCGCAGCTCTGCCAGAAGGTCACAGAAAGTGTGGGTAGCATTTGAAGTTAGCGGCACGATTGCAATTCGTGTTCCGAGGCGACAATGCCATGAAGAGTGTCAGACGAAAGAGTGCAGTGCACTGTACGTACTTCATTACGCACATACTGCATCTACAGCATGTGCTGCGGCATGTGTTGCACCAACACTGAGCAAAGAAATGGGGCAGTCAACTTTGATCCACAATATTCTGCCACTGTTGTGCACGTCACGGCCACGAACGCCACAAGAAAATGCGAGAAATATGAAGTTAAAATTTGCAGCCAAAAAAATGGGACAACAAAGGAATGGACGCTGAGAATACCACTCACAGGGAGTTTGAAACAATGAGAGCATGTGGAAAGGGCCGTATACAAATCCAGCAGGAGTACCATTTGTCCCCCAGAGTGCACTTCTTCCATGCGCTGAACTCTGCCAAATGTCATGAGGTGCATTAACCCCGGGTGAACTCCAAAATTCGAGCGAAATTTAGACATCCTGCCACTGTTAGTCAAAATATACATGCGAATGGATCTATTCTAGTTGCTGTTGATAACATCGCGAAAGCAGTTCACATTTCACAAGCCAATTGATGAAGTGGAAGTTGACGAGACTGCTGATCAGCGTCTCCCACAGAATTGCCATTTTCCCATCCAACCTCCCTGTGTGAAGGCTGTGAGCAAATGGGAAAGGACGATAATTGACCGTTTTCACCCTTGCGTCTGCTCTTCTCACCGGCCGCCAGATCGAACATTGATATGGTACTCAACAAATGCTGCTTCCCGTGTTGATTGACAACTAGACACAATATCCGATACCGTTCCATTCCTAGATGAAGTTCATGAGGGCCGTGAAGGCGATGAAGGTCATACTACCGTAGCAGGTTTTAGGTTGGCTACGCTCTAGGGTTCGCGGCAGCATACCCTCCCACCCTTCGTGGCCTTCAGGACATTACCCCTTCAGGACATTCATATCCGGAAATGATGGGCATCGGACAAACCTTGAACTATATTATATGCGCATTTGCCAGAAATGTAACCTGGACTCTTGAGTCGAAGCTGTCGCTGTCAAATTTCCTGAATCGCACGTTCTGACCTTCGTTTGAGCAAATTGAGGAAAAAGCCAGGCTTTTGTAACGCAGGTGGTTTGAGCTCACCAATTCTGTTCGTGTGAAACACTGGAACTCAGAACACGGCATTCAACAACGGCGTGCCTCCAGATTGTTCATTGCAAGTATGTGTGCCCATACAACCTTCTTCACTCCTACCCACTTCTTGCCAAGCGGTCAAATTCCTTTGCTTAAGTTGGCCTTTGAAAGCGGGGCTCTTGTCAAGCAGCGGCGATGACCAGGACGAGGCCACGACACCATGAGCGTGCAAACGAGGCAAAAGGATACAAGTGATGTGGCTTCAAGGTCGCACACGCCTTCGCAGACCAACCTGGGCTTCACGCAGTGGGCTGCACAAGTCGATCATTATCAGGCCAGGAAAATGGCAAACGGTGACTTTCACCCGTTGGCCGCCTGATGGGCAGTCTCCTCACTTTATTTGATTCGACTAATGCACTTAGAGGATTCACGCTATCCTGCTTACAATGACAACAGAAACAAAGAATCTCCTCTCATTTTCATGTGGAACGTCTCTCAAGAACCCGTTGGGCGCAAGCCACCCCTCAGTTTCGAGCAGCCCTTTGTAGGACAACGCTACCAGTCCTTCATTCTTCGCTCGGCCTTTCGCATTGACGTGAACTTCTTGCTCTGCAGCCGATTTTCGTTGGCCCTCTTCTTCCTGCAGATATGTATGGCGCACGATCAATCCAGGCGCATTCACTGTCAGGTCAGGTAGTGTAGGTCCGCCGCCCGATCAATCCATTAGTCAATACACCCATCCATTCATCCATTAGCCTATCCACCAATCCAGCACGCCTCGCATTGAGAGTTGTGAGTGGCAGATTCGTGACTCATGGCACTCACGGCAAACTGCTTGCACATCTGCAGAGTTAAAACTTCCCATTTTGCCCTCATTGCTGCATAGCTCAGTACATGGCGCAGTACATGGCACAGCGCTTTACTCATTTGGCAGTTACCTCTTCTCAAGCTCCTTCAGCAGTTCGGGATCCACTTCTCGCTCCCTGACTGACTCCACAGCCCTGTCTATCATAGCTTGCAACTTTCCCAGAGCATCCTCGATGTTCTTCCTGTCCACTCGCACAGAAACCAATAGCCATATGTTGACACACACAATGACGTCACAGACAGACAATTCTTGCCCGGTGGAAATTACCCTTCATAATCTTGCTTGTCCAAGTGCAGGCTCTGGCAGTGTCAGTCAATGAAATCTGCTGGCACGAATCCATGGCTGAGGCAAGTCCATATTTCAGCAAGAATCTGCTGTATCACTGCAGACTGAGTCACGGTGGCGGACAAGCCATGAGCACATTGCTGGCACTGCAGCCCCAGGAGCCCCTTTGCAGCAATTGCTGAGCAGCACAGCCAGTGACATCAACAGGCAACATTGGCATCAGCAAAACCACAGGTCGTTACACAGATCGGAGCAATCGCCTTTGACCAGGGTTGCTGGAAGATTCGTCCATAATCGATCCAACGCAGCACAGGCATCTTGGCAACTACCAGACGCTTCAATGTGCAGCAAATGTACAGTTGACAATGCTTACAGCTGTGTTCGGTTCTGTGTCGATGTGACCACCAGCACTCCCTCTTTGTTGATCCGCTTTTTCTCCTGCCAAAGCCAGCACCGTGCAGTGTAAGAAACAAGCCAGCAGATTGGTGTACCGAGTTGCATCGCCACCGCACTTTCAAAAGGCCATGCCAGTCAGCAGGACTTTCCCATAATGTAACATTCCAAGCTTCAGCAGCAGTTCTGTCAGAAAGATGTGTGCCGCAAAGATGACTGAGCTGGGGTACTGGCGGCAGTGCTGTTGGAGCGTGGCATCTGTAACATGTGTCATGCTCTTTGATTTGATCAGTTTGACAACTGTTTGGCAGGAATCTTGGGCAATTTGGAAATTTGGAAAACATGGCTCTGACCAGCCTGTGGAAGCCATATTTCAATCCAAAATGCCCTTCAGGAATGGTTGCTGAGTTGTTCAGGTTGAGCACTGCACCAGACTAGAGGTTCACCTAAACTGGTGCTGCAGCATTGTATGTGTAATGTGTTGCGTCAGGGCTTGAGTGGAAAGCACCTTGTGGTGCATGAGCCATTTCAATGGTTCCCAAACGTTTCCTTCAAGTTAGGCTCTGACTGCCCAAACGAAATGAAACAGAGTCCAATGCATGGACATGCCCAGCAGGAGGTCAGAGAAATGGTTTCACATTTCTTCAGTGTAACTGTTGATGGATTAAGTTCCATGAAGAATCCAGGTTTCAGTTTCATTCTCTGCTTTCAGGCAACGTTGTCCGTTCACCAATACTGGCAACTTCGCACTGGACCTCAAAGCACAAAGCTATCCACTGAACCTCAATAGCGTTTGAGCATTCAGGACTTCACTCCAGCAAAACCAGGAAAATCTACAAGGTGCTCATGGGACATTTTCCTGTGACTTATGAACATGCCCGCAACAGTCACACCCAAAGGAGAACCCAATAGCAACAACTTGACGGGAGTAGAGTTGTTCATTCACACCCAAATCAGTCAGATTCCGCACATTGATGTGGAGTCGAGCTTTTGAATTACACACATTTCAGTACACCCCACGTCCCCCTCATCTTCTTGTGCTGGGAGACTCTCCAATCCTCTTCTTAGAGCATGGAAAGGAATCATACACACACACTTGCTCAGGAGGGGAGTGCTCTTGTCTGAAGTGTAAAGCATCTTATCCCAATTTCCCCCTCAGCACTGTAGCCTTTTCAGGCAGATTCTCAGGTGACCAGTTTGCAGCCGTGCTGCCCAAGCATCGCACCTGCCTTTTCAGTGCCTCTCTCGCCTCCTCTGGCAGCCACAAAGCCTCATCCAGCTTCAACCGCATATCTACCTTTGTGTTCACCTTGTTCACATTCTGACCACCCGGCCCTGAGCTGCGTGCAAAACTGACCTCGACATCGTCTGCATGGTCAGCAACAAAGGGATCGTCAACAGTGCTGGCGTTTGTCATTCGGGGACTGAATAGAGCTCATGTTCCTTGCATTCTACGTGCAGCTGCTGAATAGTGAGACAAACACTGCACTTTCACTCATCAGCAAATCAGAAAAAATGAGATGTTGCAAGTGGAGCACCAGGGGCCTACCAGATATCAGTGCCCTCTCCAACACAACCCAAAGATCTGCAAAAAACATTCGATTGTGTTTCTTGCGTTCTTTCATTCCTTTTCTAGTTTGTTCACTCCTTTGTTTCTTCAAGGATGGCGATGGCCAAGAAGGCCTCAATTCTCTGTGCGTGCCAACAGTTGCGTGGCACAGCAATCTTACACATCAGTCTCTGTATGCTGCAGTGCTTGGCAACGCCTTCAGCCCATGTGATGATTTGCACATTGTGGCAGTTTTGGTTGCCATTTTCTCATTTGATTGGTACCAATCTGCATCAGTTCCAAATCATACTACTCCCTGCTGGATATAGCAGCCACCCAACCATGCCCTACGAACAACGTTGTGTACCCTGTATGAGCCTAAAACTCAGGCCATGTTCCTGACTTAAACACGCATCAGTGTCTGAATGTATCTAGGATAAGCACACAAGATATGCAACACGCACAACAGATCGATGGCTCATTAGTCTGGGTGGAAGCAAGGAAATTTTGAGGTTGTCTTTGACATCATCTGAGGAAGCATTGACACTGTTGTGCCATTCTCAGGTATGTTGCAGGATTCCCCAAATACATGAGAGCAACCAAGCAACGTTGACCATACCAAACAGCATTAATGGTACAAGCACCAGGAATGAGGGTAATCAGCAATGTACAGACAGCGACATTATGCCAGATTTCCAAGAACTCAGGCTTGCAAGGTAAATCCGCAATGAAAGGGACTGCCTATGGTTTCCCATGCCCTCCTCTCCGTCAACAAAATCTTCCCCTCTACACCACTTCACACGCCCCCAGTCCAGTCCCACACAGCTCCCACAACGACCTGGCCACGCAGCCCCCGCCCTTTCCTCCAGCTCCCGTCACCTTTCGTCAAGGATCTCACTTCCAGATCTTTGGGAATGGTCCCCTCGCCCCCGGCGCCCGACGCCGCATGCACGCGGCACCCTCTGCCGCTCGCCGCGCCGGCGCCGATCCTCTGGGCCGCCCGCCATCCCTGGCAGCAGCGCGGCGCGCCTAGGCGCCGGGCGGCCAGGCCGCGCGCGTGGCGCAGGAGGGCGCGGTTCATAGGGCGCCGTCCCTTTGATGCGCTTCTGTCTGCTCCCGACGATCGGGAGCGCCCTATCTGCCGACGAGCGAAAGATGGCTCCGGCGGCGGAGTGGCGATCCAAGAATCCGCGTCGCCCTTCGTCGCCCTGCTCCCTTGCGGCGCAGCGAGCACGGTACGCCCCAGCAGCAACCCAAAGCAACAGGCGCACGCTGGACGCTGCCGATCTTGTACACCAGAACCCAAAAACAAAAAAAAGAAAGAAAGAAAATTAATAAAAAATCACAAAATTTAATGCAAATTACATAGAATATAACAGTGGGTCCACACAGATCCATGTGTTTGCGTGAGCATGGGGGGCTGACATGGGACCGCGCCCATTGGCGCATGGCCGACGAGTTGCGCCGGGGCTGTTGCATCTGCCTCCGAAATGGCGGGCCCCGGGGCCCAGGCCGCTTTCCCGCCCAGTTAGCCGCGGGCGCGCGGCACCGCGCCCCGTTTCGCCGCAGCGGCCGCCATGGCCGGCGGCCCCATCCCCCCCACGGCCCCCCTGCGCGATCTCGAGGAGCTGGACGCCGATCTTGAGCCCGCGGACGCCGCCTACGTGTTGGTTTACGGGAGCCAAATGCCTTCCGATCCATCCGATCGTTCGAAGGGGCCGGAGAGGTTCGTGTGCGTGGCCAGGGCAGAGGTGCGGGCGCGTTACGCGAGGGAGGCCTTCGGCGTGACGTCGGAGTTCGTGACGACGGAGACGGACGTGGGCGGGAGGGCGGTGGTGATGGAGGGAGTGCCGGGATGCTGTGTCTTTGCGACCCCGCCGTCCAGGGATGAGCTGCGGGCGGTCATGCTCGCCAACCGTCGGCTGGTGCGGAATTTCGCGCCAAGGTTGGAGATCGGCGCGGGCGAGCGCCTGCTTTGCGAGATAGATCTTTTCAAAATCTCAAGCCAAGCGGCGGGGGGGTCAACGGGGGGGGTTGCAAGGCGGGCGCCAGAGTGCGTGGACTTGGTGAGCGACGAGGAGGCGGAGGGCCAGGAGGAGCGGGAGGAATCGAAATTGGAGCTGCGGGGAGGATCGCTGTGCGGGGTTGTGGATGTGGGAGCGCCCGGCGGCAAGCAAGCAGCGGTGTCCAAACCTCAGGATGGGACTGCGGAGGCTGGCGAAATGACGGTGAGATTGGCGAAGGGACTAGAGAAGAAAACGCGGGGACTTTAGTGCCAATTGTGATGCCGCCACGGACGTAATTGTTGGCATCTGACAGCGCCCATCGCAGTCGCTTTGGTGCCGTTGCAGCAGTGATGGCATCACTGGTCGAAATGGCAAATGCATGGCACCGCCAAGCTGGTGTGTCTGCTGATGACCAGTGCTAATTTCTTTCGCTGGAAATCTTTTGGTGCTAGGCTGAACCGCTGCCAAGCGGGACTGTTTGGTGTCAGTTGGTTTGTGTATCCCATTTGGGGTCTCGGAAACGATATCACGTTCCTCCATTCTAGTAGTTTTCACTCGAATTTTTTTGGTCCCCTAACATCAGAGCCAAAGCTTTGCACCCCAGCCTCACAACAGCAAGCGGTATGCGTTGAAGAGTATTTTGAAAGCCCATCCGTGGTGCTCGATTAGTCAACTGATGAGTGTCCCACAATTGTGTTGCAGCAATCATATGATGGCATTGCATCAAAGCATCTTGGCACCCAGCGCAACGATGACTCCCCCACTTCCAGCAAGAGTCTAGATTTCAAGTGCATCGCTGTGACAAAGAGGAATCCACAAGGGGCCAGTCAAGAATACC